AGTTTAGTTATTTAGTTTTAATATTTCTGCGGAGTAGATATACTTTCTCTCTTTTTTTAAAATCTAATTTTTTTTTATATTATTTATTGTAGTAAATCTTACTTTATAGATTTATAAAGTTAATATTTTAGAAAAGTTAGATATGTAAATATATAAGTATTTCGATTAAGTTATATATTTATTCTGTAATAGGTTTAATTACTTATAGTTTACTAAAAGCTATAGAATTAAACCCGTAGTTTATAAAGAATAGTAATTCTTTAATAGTTGTATAGTAAGTATTGTTGTATATAAATTATACTAATAGTAGAAAGTTAGTTTAATTATTCTATTAGTAGCTAACGTAGTAATGTAGATACTATTTTAATATCTAGTTTATTTGTTCTGTTTATTTATTTATTTACAGGTAATATACCGTGATAAAATATTAATTAATTTCTATAAGATTTATTAATATAGTCTAAAACTTTGAGATAAACAGCTTATCTTTATCTAATATAATATATATTAGTATTCTGTAGTTAGTAATAATTATTTTAAAGAATATTTATGCTAGTATTGGTGCGTCTATAATAGTATATAATAGTTTAAAATAGATATATTTAGTTAATCTATCTATAATAACTGTAATTAAATTATATCTCTTAGATAATAGTAAAGATCCGATAAAATTAATAGTAATCTATTATTATAGTCTTATTAGTATGTTTAGTAACTATATAAATTTATATAGTTAGTACCTTAAAAATTTATTCTAAATATAGATATTGTATTGCTTAATATATTTCTTAATTTATTATTATATATTTAGAAAATAGTAGTTTCTTAAGATTTATTCTATAATTTTTTTAGTACTAAAGTATTTTTAAAATAGAATATTATAATATATCTAAATAATTTTATTTTATAATACTTTAGGTACGTAGATTAATCTATAAAAATAAACTATACTATTTTTATTAAATATAAGTTTTCCGCTGTTTAAATATTTAAGTATTTCTTAAATCTACTAATCCGATTTTATTTCTTTAATAATTTTAGCAATTATATTATTTTAAATATAGATAGTTGCTGTAAGTTATTATTTGTTATATATAATAGATTTATTATCTATTTTTTTTAGAATAGCTAGTTTAATAATCTTATTCTTAAACTTGTAATTTAGTTATCTGCTTAATATATCTATTTAGCTATTTTCTAATTCTTTATAGTGAATAATCTTAAAGTTGTACTATAAGAGTATTTCTAACTATCTAGCTTATTTTCTTATTAACTCTTTAGTTATTATAAAATAAGTCAGGTTCTTATAGTCTGTTTTAACAATAATTATTTACTAAGCTTTTTCTAGATAGACTCTCTAGACTTTAAATACTACTATTATAGCTAGTAGTTCTTTATTATAGATATCGTAGTTTAATTTAGCTAGTATAAACTTCCTTAAATAAAATATAATTAGTTAAGATTTTCCGTTCTTTCTTAGTTGTATTATTTATATACTAATTATATAGTCTAATACATCGGTTTTAATAGTTATAACTTTTTATAAATTATACTGTACTAAGATTAGTAATATAGTAAATTAATTTTTAATTTTCTTAAATATTTCCTATTATTTCTTACTTTAAAGAAAATCTTTGCTTTTCTTAAATAGTCTAAATAGTAGTATTATAATATCGGTGTATTTATCTACGAATTATTAGTAGTAGTTTATAAGTTTAGTAAACTACTATAGCTTCTTAAGGTTTTTTAGCTATAGCTAATTTTTAATAGCTTAAATCTTTATCTTTTCGGTCTGCACTTTTTTTTATAATATCTAATATTCGAAGAACTTAGTTTCTTAAATATAGAATTTATATTTTTTTAGCTTAAGCTGTATTTTAGCGATCTAAAGCTTTCGAAGTACTAATCTAATATATCTAATATATTTTTTTATAGTTTTTAAGAAGATTAGAATGTTATCTAAATAAGTAATAATAAAATCATTAAGATATTCGCCTAATATTTTATTAATAAACTATTAGAATAATACTAGCGCGTTAGTAAAGCTAAACAATATAACTGTATACTTATAATAGCTATATTTTATTTTAAACACAGTTTTCTATTCTTCTTCTTTTATAATTTAGAGTCTATTATATATATTAGTAATATTAAGTTTAGTAAACTATTTAATTTCTTAAATTTAATCTTAGATTTTACTGATTAAAGGTAGTAAGTAATAATTCTTAATAGTAATATTATTAAGTAGTTAATAATCTATATATAGTTATAATTCTTCTTTTTTTTTTAGATATAAATAGAACTCCGTATCCTGCCGATAATTTTAATAGTTAAATAATTTTTTTTTAAGATTTTCGTCGATATTAGAGTGGGCAATGGCCAGGTGAGGGGAGGTTAAGGACCTCCAGCATAACCTGACCGCAGGTTAACGGTGAGGTTAAGTACCTTATTTTTACCTGACCGCGGTATAAAAAAAAGAGGTTAGGTTAACCTGATTAACCGTTCTTGGCGCTAAAAGCAATATGCCTTGCCTAATTAGGCCTAGTCCGGTTAAGGTTCCGGTCAGGTTAACCGCATTAACCTCACCGTTTCTAACCAACCTTCTAAAAATCTATAATAGAAGCGTTATTTAATTTTTAAAAAAATATTAAAAATAAATAACTATATCTCTTATTCAAATTATCTTTATAAAAATACCTAGACTCTAGTGTGGCTGGCAGAATTCTCATTTTTCTATAAAAGTTGGTGTTACCCAGAGATACGGCATGGAAATATATATTAATACATACCTTGTTTCCCATTACCAGCATTAATAGTAGATTTTGGAGATTATCTCTATTGTAGCCATTATATTAATCATTTAGAGCAATAGTATCCTTATCTACATCTTTATTATCAACAGAAATGCTATATTTCTTATAAAATATTCCTTATTTCTAGTGTTCTTATAGTAATAGACACTGATGGTAGCCAGATTATCACGGGTTCTATCCCAACCACCACTAACCTTTATTAGATCTATCATATTTTGGTAGTAACACGACGCGTTCTCTTTGTCAACCCACCAACATCATGTCTTCTAAAAATTTCTCTTTTCTATCTTCCAGTGTCCATGCCATTAATGAAGCCTTGCTATTCATTATGGCACACCAATCCTACCCCCTCGATCTATGTTCACAAGATACTATTGCACCATCCTCCTCTATCTCCCAAGTCTTTACTGATGGCGATAATCAGACAGAGGTTAATACCTGTTCTATTTTCTCTCCACCCCCTGAGCTTGATTCTCTGCGTCTCTCCAAAGGCCGCAAAATTATTCAGTATCCGACCGAGCAAGAAAAGATTCATATCTTTGAAGAATGGTGGAATACTACTACCTGGGCCGAGAAACGGAGAGAAGCCAAAAAGCCATTAGTTCGATTCAATCCTAAAAGACACTCATCTGTATGGGACAAATTCCACGAAGGCGCCCAATTCCCGGATGGGACCCCCTATGTCTTTTGTGTCTCATGTTCTCATCTGCTCCAACATCCGTCAACAGAGCACACTGGGACTAGTTCAATGGCCTATCATGTCCGAAAAGGCTGCCCTAAGAAGTCGTCTTCGGTGCCTTCCAAACGAACAGTAGCTCAGATGCTAAGTGAAAAACCGGTAGGGTGTCTGTCCTTCTTCTATTTATCTTATACTAAGAGCTTCGATTTCTTAGGGCCCGACAACCATCTACACCGAACAAGAATTCCTTGACCAAGTCCTGCGATTTATCGTTGCCTGCCGTCTACCTTTTCGAACTGTCGAGCATGTCCAATTTAAACGAATGATCAATCTCGCCGCTGCCGGATCATCTCGCAGACCGCACATTCCGAATCGAAAGCAAATCCAGGAACGATTAATCGAGTTATCGGATGAAATCCACACACAGCTACTCTCACGGTTCCCGGCGACCGGCAGAATGTCAATTGCACTTGACTGTTGGACAAGCCCGGATCAGAAAGCATTTCTTGCACTTACTGGCTATTTCTTGACGGACGATCTTGATTATCATGAGATTATTCTGGGCTTCCGACCGGTATCCGGTTCGCATACAGGTGAAACCCTTGCTGCCATTGTTCTGTCGGTTCTTCATAAGCATAATCTATGCCATCGTCTACTAGGGGTGACAACCGACAACGCGAGCAACAACAGTACTATGTTCTCCTCCCTTACAGAGCAACTTCGCGATGAACTTGATACGAATATCCAGATTCAGGATACTATCGCCGACCCGGAGCTTTCCAAAATCCTTCGGAATCAGCATCACATCCCATGTCTTGCTCATGTTATCCAACTCTGTGTTACCTCCTTTATGAATAAATTGCGGATCGCAGCGGAGAATGACACTGTCTCCTACATATGGGAGAACAGCGATGAAACGCTCAAAGCGTCTGGTAGTATTTCACGAGCCATTGAAAAGGTATGTACGCCAGCTGGCCGAGATTTCGGTCATAACCGAGAAGGTTGCTCAGATCTAGCTACCTAGGAGGATGCTGAGGAAGGCTTCCTCAGCTTCCTTTCGGTCATAACCGAGAAGGTTGCTTAGATCTAGCTATCTAGGGGGATGCTGAGGAAGCCTTCCTCAACCTCCTCCTAGATAGCTCAAACAAGTGTCCAGCATTTACTAATATCTATTATGTCCCTAGATTCGAAAAATCACTAAATTCGTGAACGCTAGCCCTCAACGTCGTGAAAGATTTCAACTTACTCAGCGTCTGGAATCTGGATCTGTATACTATCTTCTTCTCGACTGCAAAACCCGCTGGAACTCTTCCTACCTGATGATTCGACGCGCACTGAAGCTCCGCCAACCAATCGAGAGCTTTATCCAGCACTGGGATAGTCAGAAGCTTGACTACCTGCGGCCTACACCGGTAGAATGGAAACAGTTGGAATATCTTCTGGAGCTTCTATATCCGTTTTACATCTTCACGTCCTGCCTCTCGGAGAACACCGGCCCTACCGTCCATAGGGTATATGATATCTACAACGATCTGTTCGACCATCTGGATCTTGCCATCAATCGTCTTCGGAACAAACGAGCCTCGTGGAAACAACAGATTCTTGAAGGCTTAGAAGAAGCCCACAAGAAACTCCGGAAATACTATCGGCGAACATACCAAGCAGAGGGTTATATCTATGCTATTGCAACGATTCTTGATCCTACCTCCAAGCTTGAGAAGTTCAAAACAGCTACGTGGCTGGACGATGACACTGATTGGTATCAAAAATATCGCACTGTTTTTGAGAAGGTGTTCCACTTCTACCGCAGTCAGAATCCAAGTGTCAACACGCCATCGACTGTTTCAGACCCATTATCTGGACTGAACAAGGCATTTTACCATCTCTCGAAACGACGAAGACTTGCCACTTCATCAGAGACCTTTGAGGAGCTTAAGGCCTATCTTGATATAGAAGGTAAGTCGTACTTTGAATAGGCCTACACTCTGCTTACTGTCGATAAGGCACTACTGGTCAAACTGATATTATTGCCTACTGGAAATCTCGTCGCAACCAGTTCCCGATCCTCTACTCTATGGCAAGAGACTTCCTTACGGTCGCAACCAACGGTGTCAGTGTTGAACGCCTCTTCAACAGCTCCCGAGATATCTGTCACTATCGCCGGAGTCGGTTATATCCCGATACTATTGAGGCGATTATGCTGCAGATGTGTACCGATCGCTTTACCATCAAGTGAGGAATATCAGCAGATTCTTGATGAGGTTGACCCCGACTCCATTGTCTTTGTACACAAGGAAGAAGACGATGATACAACCGAAGCGCCTTTGTATATTAGTGACAATGAGGATATGGATGATATGGATGAGGATCCGGAGGATGGATTGTTGCCAGAACCTCCGCATACTACCCGGACTGTTAAAGAGACACGATCCCTTCGACATCATGAACGACGCCCGGGACAGTATAAAGAATAGAGAGTAGATAATAGATATTTTTTTTTTAACGTGTCCTCGAAGCAGAATATTTCGATCAGTTTATTCTAAGTAGTAAATTACATCACGGGATCACAAGAGTATTAATACCGAAATAAAAAAATACAGTAAACCATGAAGGTAATCAAGATGTATTAATTACCGTTTAACCTGCGGTTAGTACCCTCACCGGATTAACCTCCCCTACCTCACCGGCCGGTTAATCCGGTGAGGTAGAACCTTTACCTTTAACCTGATTGTACCGGTCCGGTTATTGGGTTCTTTATACCTTAACCTAACCTGGCCGGTTATGGTCAGGTTATGGTGAGGTACAACGGTGAGGTTAACCCACTCTAACTAAAGCTAAGTAGTCTCTTCTTTAGCGTACTAAAAATAAGTTATTATCTAAAATTAAAAAGAATAACGCCGAGTTAGATTTATTAGAATCCGAGTTAAATTAGCTTTAAAATTACTTAGCTAAATTATATAAGAAAGTAATAGTAAAATAAAAATAATATTAAGAAGTAATATTATATTAATAAAGATTATAAAAGTAGATAGCTTTCTTAAAGCAGAAAGGTTTTAAAATATCGGAGTATAATGCTAAATTACTTTGTATCTTAGATAAGAGTAATAATAAGGCTTAGCCCTTTGTAGAGCTTGTCTAGCTAGCTACTTTATCCGATAATTCTTCTAGATTTACTTAGATAGCTAAGAAGATTAGTTATCTTTCTTTTTTCTTTTAGAAGATCTTTAATCCTTTAGTTCTTAGTAGAACTACTAAACTAGTCGGCGGCAGTCTGTTAAATACTTAATAAGTTTCTATATATTTTCTAAGATATCGTATCTAATCTATTTAATTAAATAGTATAGTTTTCCGTTAACCCTCTTGTATTCTAGAATCTTTTTAATCTTATACTCTTATTTAGTTTCTTCTTTAATTTTAATGTTTTTAGCAAGTTTAGTATTTTTTAGTGCTAATTTTAATAGCGATATATAAAATATAGGGTATATTTTTCGCATAGTCGCTAGTAGCTTAAGTCAATAATTTACTAGTCCGGTTTTCTTATTAATTTTAAATAGCCCTAGTTTCTAGTAATTAAGTTTTTAGCTTAGTTATTTAGTTTTAATATTTCTACAGAGTAGATATACTTTCTCCTCTCTTTTAAAGTCTAGCTTTTTCCCGTATTATTTATCGTAGTAAATTTTACTTCGTAGGTTTATAAAGTTAATATCTTAGGAAAGTTAAATATATAAGTATGTAAGTATTCTAATTAAATTATATATTTATTCTACGATAGATTTAACTACTTATAGTTTGTTAAAAGCTATAGGATTAAACCTGTAGTTTACAAAAAATAGTAATTCCTTAGTAGTTATATAGTAAGTGTTGTTATATGTAAATTATGCTAATAGTAGAAAGTTAGTTTAATTATCTTATTAGTAATTAATATAGTAACGTAGGTACTATTCTAATATCTAATTTATTTATTCTGTTTGTCTGTTTATTTATAGATAATATACCGTAGTAAAATATTAATTAATCCCTATAAAATTCGTTAGTATAGTCTAAAACTTTGAGATAAATAGCTTGTCTCTATTTAATATAATATATATTAGTATCCTGTAGTTAGCGATAATTATCTTAAAGAAGATCTGTATCAGTTCTAGTACGTCTATAGTAGTATATAATAGTTTAAAGTAGACGTACTTAGTTAGTCTATCTATAATAACTGTAATTAAGTTATATTCTTTAAACAACAGTAAGGGTCTAATAAAATTAATAGTAATTTATTACTATAGTCTTATTAGTACGTCTAGTAACTGTATAAGTCTATATAGTTAATATCTTAAAGATTTATCTTTAATGCAGATGTCGTATCGCTTAATATATTTCTTAATCCGTCGTCGCATGTTTAAAAAATAATAATTTCTTAAGATTTATTTTATAACTTTTTCAGTGCTAAAGTATCCTTAAAATAAAATATTATAATATATCTAAATAATTTTATTTTATAATACTTTAGGTACGTAGATTAATCTGTGAAAATAAACTATATTATTTTTATTAGATATAAGCCTTCCGCTATCTAAATATTTAAGTATTTCTTAAATCTATTAATCCGATTTTGTTTCTTCGATAATTTTAGTAATTATATTATCTTAAATATAGATAGTTACTGTAAGTTATTACTTATTATATATAATAGATCTATCTTCTATCTTCTTCAGAATAGCTAGTTCAATAATCTTATTCTTAAGCTTGTAGTCTAGTTATCTACTTAATATATCTGCTTAGCTGTTTTCTAATCTTTTATAGTAAATAATCTTAAAGTCGTACTATAAGAGTACTTCTAACTATCTAGTTTACCTTTATATTAACTCTTTAGTTATTGTAAAGTAAGTTAGATTCTTATAGTCTATTTTAACAATAATTATCTACTAAGCTCCTTCTAGATAGATTCTTTAGATCTTAAACGCTACTACTATAGCTAGTAGTTCTTTATTGTAGATATTATAGTTTAATTCAGCTAGTATAAGCTTTTTTAAATAAAATATAATCGGTTAAGGTTTTCCATTTTTATCTAGCTATATTATTTATATACTAATTATATAGTCTAATACGTTGGTTTTAATAATAGTAACTTTCTATAGGTTATATTATACTAGAATTAGTAATATAGTAAGTCGATTCTTAATCTTTTTAAATATTTCCTGTTGTTCCTTATTCTAAGAAAAGTCTCTGCTTTTCTTAAGTAGTTTAAACAGTAGCATTATAATATTGGCGTATTTATCTATAAATCGTCGGTAATAGTTTATAAGTCTAGTAAACTGTTAAAATTTCTTAAGATTTTTTAATTATAGCTAATCTCTAATAGCTTAAATCTTTATTTTTTCAGTCTACACTTCTTTCTATAATATCTAATATCTAAAAAACTTAGTCTCTTAAATATAGAATTTATATTTCTTTAACTTAAGCTATATCTTAGCGATCCGAAGTTTTTAAAGTATTAATCTAACGTGCCTAGTATATTTCTCGATAGTTTTTAAGAAAATTAGAATGTTATCTAAATAAGTAATAATAAAGTTGTTAAGATATTCGCCTAATACTTTATTAATAAACTGTTGGAATAATGCTAGTATATTAGTAAGACTAAATAATATTACTGTATACTTGTAGTAGCTATATTTTATTCTAAACGCGGTTTTTTATTCTTCTTCTTTTATAATTCGAAGTCTATTATATATATTAGTAATATTAAATTTAGTAAACTATTTAGCTTCTCGAATTTAATCTTAGATTTTACTAATTAAAGATAATAGGTAACAGTCCTTAATAGTAATATTATTAAATAGTTAATAATCTATGTATAGTTATAACTCTTCTTCTTTCTTAGATATAAATAAAACTTTGTATCCTGCTAATAATTTTAATAGTTAAATAGTTTCTTTTTTAAGATTCTTATTAATGTATTTCTTAAGTATTTATAACTCTCTTTCTAATATAGAGTATATTTTACAATATAATAGTTTTATTTTTAGTTTAAGCGGTATAGTATGGTTATACAAACTATATTTCGGTAATCTAGAACGTTCGGGCTATTTAAATAGATCCTTAAATTATTTATACTTCTAAAAAATTTTAACTAGTTTCTAAGTCGCTACTAGCTATTTCTATAATTTACTGCCTTCTAAGGCGCTAAGTAGCTGCTTCTGTAAGTAAAATCTCTTATTCTAAGAACTCTTAGGTATTTCCTTAGTACTGTTAATTACTGCGTAATTATTGCTGTTTATAGATATCTATTCTAATAAGCTTATTAACTATTTCTTCTTAGTAATAGTTATAGCTGCAATAACTATTTTAATTGCTTAATTTAATCTATCTTATAGTCGCTTAATCTTATCCTTAAGTTCTTCTTTATAAATAGGTCGTATAGTCTTAGTATCCCTAATACTTAGTTCTTTTAAATATTTATAGTAGAATATTATTTATTCCTTCTACTAATTAATAACTAAATTATATTTCCGGAGCTATAGAATTCTTAATATAATATTATATTTCTCTACTAGGAATACATTAAAATTTATATATTTAAAATACTCTTATATAGCTATAGTAAGAAATCCCGATTTAATTTTAATAAATCTTTCTAAGTTTTTATCTAAAAGTTTTTTGATAGATATAGGCCGCGCTTTAAGAACTCCTATAATTTCTAATCGCCTAAAAAATTCTAAATACATAAAGTTTCCTGCCGCGCCTAAGTTAATTATCGCTTAAGCTAATTGTCCGGCGATATTAGCCTAGATTTTTAAATAAAGCCCGTTCTAAGTAGCTGCTATTTAAGTCAGTTTTTAGTTTAGCTTATTTATCTACCGTATAGATTACAGGAGTTATCCCTTGTTAATCTTTACTTAGTAATATATAAAATAGTTATCGTTATAGTAGGCTATCTAGCTTATTTTATTATAGTCTAGATGTTATAGATATCTAATGTAAGAGCAGTCTAGCTTTCTATATAGATATATTTTCCTATTTTTAAGAATAATAAGTAGTAATATTAGTTTGTATTTTACTGCTGTCTTTATATTATAGTATTATTTGTATATATTATTATAATATATAATCTATAGAATATATTAGTAATTAGGGTATACCCGGTAATACTTACATAAATATTAGTTGATTACATAGATATAATAGAATAGTCTCTTTAGTTTAGTATATAACGCGAGAAGAAGCGCTATATAATAGTTAGTATTATTTCGTTAATATATATTGTAGGCTTTATTATAGTAGTAATACGTTAAATATTAACTTTATCTTTCTGTTTTATCCTAATAATCTAAATTCTAATAGATATAGTTTTTCTAGCTGCCTTATCTTACAGCGTCCTCGATTTATGTATTAAAGAAATTAATTTATTATTCCGAAATCTCTGTAAGGATTTATATAATATATAGTTTTAGAGAATTTTACAGAGATATCTCCGGTATTTTCTAGATAATCGTTTTACTAGATATAAGGCTTTTTAGCTAAGTACCGTACTCTTTGTTAAGTAAATTAAGAAATTTCTAATTAATCTAAAGATATTTATTCTTTAAGTCCTTCTAAACTAGCTCTTATCTTAAATTCTTCTGTTAATACTGTTAGTAGCTAATAAATAGAGACTAAGATATATTTTATCTAGCTCCGATATTGTTATTATAGTTACTTAGTATATCGTTCTAGCTAAGCTGTATATTTTCTTTATTATTATAGATAGAATACTCTTTAGATATACTAGATAATATTTCTAGCGTATTCTACTAGTTGTCCGCCTCTTAGATCTTACTTACTTTTTAAATAGTTTTTAGCTGTTAATATATTTCGTATTATTCTTTCTTTTATTAATAATCTTTAGATATATATCCGGGTTTTCTATAGTTATAATAAAGTTATTCTTTCTTTTATTGTTTTTATTTCTGTTAGAATATACGTTACGGCTTAGTTATGTTAAACTTTATTAGCTTTAGCCTGTAAAGATTGTTGTATTCTTAGCTTTATAGTTACGCTAGCCTACGGTCGTTAACTTAATAGTTACTGTTTTATCTATTACGCTAGCTATGCTAAATTTATTCTCTCTATTTTCTAAGATTTAACTTATGTAAGCAGTTGTTGATCTTAATAGCTTTTTTAATAATCCCTATAAGAGTATCTAGTCTGTCTATCTAGATAAGTTTTTTTTAAACTTCTAATTTAAGCCCTTTCTTAAATATAGTAATAAACACGTTGTTATCCTAATCTAGATATATAACTAGCTTTTAGAATTCGGAAGTATAGTATACTGCTAATCTAGTTTATTAAAATTATATAATCTTATATTTAATATTTTACTTCGCGTTAATATCTTCGAAGATTTCTTTAAGTCTTTATTTAAAGATTTCGAAGTTTCCGAAAATTTCTTTAATATCTTTATCTTATCTGTTAGATAGATAGATATAATAGTTCTTAATAAAAGATTTAAACTAATTAAACGCTAGTCCTATTAAGTAGGTTAATACGAAAAAAATTTTATCTCCCTTATCTGCTAGTTATTCATAATTTATATAAATATACAAGTCTAACTATATAATAAATATATAAAGCTTATATTATATATCATCGAAAACTTTAGATAGCTTAATCTTTACCGACTTAGCTGAGAGACGATTTTCTAATAATATAATATATAACTGCAGTTATTTAATTATACTCTAATAGTCGGGGGTACGTTAAAGCGCTTCTCTACTAAAACTCTATAAGATCTGTAAAGTATTATTGCTTAATACAGTCGATATATTGCTTAAACTAATTTATACTACCTAGCGTTTAATTTATTAAACCCTAGGATCTATCTAGGCTGCGTAATCTACTAGTGTTATAGTTTAAGCATAAGAATAACTAGAATCTACTAGTCCGAGAGAATAACTAATACTTATTCTAAAAGTAAGGCGACTCCTATAAATAACAATAAAATTTCTAAGAATAAATATAATAATCTTAAAATCCGAAGCAGTAAAGATAGAAGTAGAGCTAAGAGAATATATATATCTACTTATAATAAGAGATTAACGAATTGTACTAGCAAAAACAACGATATAGTTATTAATAACAGTTATATTAAACGCGAAGAACTAAACAAGAACTATCTAAGTATATAGTAACAAGTATTCTTATATTTTTTTAATCTAGTAGTATAGTATACTAGTAGTAAGTATACTAGTAGATAGATAGTAGATGTTGTTGGTCGGATCTACTATTTAGTTAACTTCTAATATATTACAGGCTCTAATTAGTAGAAAGATAGTTTCTAGAAAATTAAGTTCGTAGAGATATATACATACTTAAATTTTATACGTTCTTTTCTGATTAGATTTAGTACTTAGGTTATGATTACTAAGCCTCAGGCTAAGTCGCGGGTATCTCTTTATTACGGGGTTTAGTTGGTTGTTATTGCCTAGCGGTTCTGCCTGGCGTGGCCGCCCTCAACTAGTTGACTGACAGGGGTGCTGTAACAGTTATATAATAGTAATAGAGAGCGTGGTAACAGTTAAGTAAAATTTAATTACTGGCCCTAGACTACAGATTAGTATTAGATAAGGATATCTCTAGTATATATAGAGTATATATAGAGTATATATAGAGTATATATAGAGTATATATAGAGTATATATAGAGTATATATAGAGTATATATAGAGTATATATAGAGTATATACAGCCGAACCTTAAGTTTAATTACTAGATTAATATTATTAATTTAGCGAGTAATTTTGTTTCTTAATTCTAGATCTGCCATGGCGATTGTAGTACAAATTTACAAAAATAAGTAGAAAAAAGTAATTAGCAAAAGGAAGGTCTAGTAAGACTAAGAAGTCTTAAAATAAAGTATTATATTATTAGGTAACCTTAATCTCTAACTAAAATAAGTTTTATTTAGATATCAGCTCAGCGGGTGTTAAAAAAATTCTTAGCATATACCCAGCGGGTCCCAAAGACTTTAGGACCCGATGGGAAAAGCGGTGGCAGAATCTTAGGACCCCGGAGGAAATTTTTGACACCCGCCGAGCTGTATGCCCTGCGGAAAGTTAATCCGGTCTGCGCATTAGCCTACCCGTCTATAAGCTAGCAGATCATACACTAAGTGCTAGCTTAGAGCTAGAAGGATATCGACTATAGAGCTTAATAGTTTGCGCATGCTTTCTGGCAACTCTTCGAAGATATCCCTCTAAGAGCTTATATCCTTACTCTCGCCTTGAAGAGTATTAGATAATCTATCTTACAGGAGATATATACAAGCAGCATCCTATATATCCTAGATAGCTGTAAAGCTATCTTAGCTAGAAAACTAGCCTACTCGCGAATCTTATTCGGTCAAAGCTTACAGTTAGTATTTGCCCGGCTACTCTTGGTTGATAAGTCTTTCTTTTTCTGGATAGATAGCCCGGGAGATAAATACGCATGGCAGGCATCGAGGAATTCCGGAAGTATTGTCTGTTGCGTCGGAAGCCTTAGTTAGTTCTCGGCTTGCTGTCTGAATCGCTGTTCCTTTTCCCATAACTGTTGTTCTTCTTCTTCTTGGCGTCGTTATAATTATGTATCTCTTAAAGTGGCATTTTATATATAGTTGGACGCTGTACATAATCAAATTATTTAGAAATTGTTCTGGTTGTTTTAGTCCGAGGCCGCGAAAGGGTTTATTAGTAACTGTCATCACCCAACAGCACATTCTCTATTCCCCTCTTCGACGAGGTTATTAATCTCCTATTTCTCTATTCCCCCTATGGGACACAACACTGTTTACAATAGATAATTAATTAATTAACTAGCCATAGTTAGTTATTGTTATGGGAGATGAAATAAGCAGTTATGAGAGGGGCATGGATGCCTTTGTTAAGAAAAAACATATACAACATGTCCACCTCTCCTCCATTAGGCAAAGCACGATCTACCTCCAAGGGCGCTTATCTGCAACCAATTTGTTATTGGGTTGTTTGATCATGGCCAAATGAGTGCATGCCTCTGAAGACCGACGCATGGAGAGATTTTTAGGAGCATGTATTTGGTGGGATAATATCTCCTTTGTTGAGAGACATTGCTTATTTTGAAGGCATCGACGCATAGTATCCTCTCCGGGTTTTAGCTCAATAAAGTCGTCTCGCTAGATAAACCGCGCTTTTGATGTTACTTGGTCTAAATACATCTGCTTGAAGACTACCGCAGCTGTTGCACTCCGAGCCAGTAAAGCAGCCATGTGGCGTCTGAATGTGCTAATCGGCTTTGCGATCGGATTGCTTATAGTCATGATCAATCAGCCGGTCGATTTCGAGTGTTTCGTGCATACAACTGCCGTCGGAAAACGTTCCCCCAGGACCTAGCTTGGCAGCAGCCGTTGGTGCATCTTAACCATCGTCTGCGCATCTTGGACTATTAACCTGATCATGTCCGTCTGAGACTCTGTGTCGGCCCATGTCTGATTCTGGATCCTTGCCTTAGCCTGTTCCAGGCGCTCTAGCAATCTCGTGGTGTCGTCTCGCAGGTCTTGTAGCTGCTTATGAACTGCGGGCTCCCTACTCCTATCTTAGGCCTCTAAGTCCCCGATTTAGAGAATGTATATATGTGTGAGGATGATGGTCGGCCGAGCCTTCGGAACCTCTTTTAGTATTATAAGAGTGAACTGCCCAGAAGGAACGCCCAACATGCGCGTGGAGCTCCATGTATGCACCTATAGAGTGCTTGCTTATTGATTTTTTAAAGAGAGGTTTGATTGAAGGATTACTGATATGCCATGTATAAGGCATATTTTCTCTATTCACGAGTCGCACTGTAGAGGGTATAACTTAGATCCCCAGCCTCTCGCCTGCTCCACAGATTAGTTACTTTCACAACCAATAGGCCTTTGTTATACCGATATGTTTTAATAGACTTTTCCGACATATTACTCTCCATTCCCTACGCTTCCGTATTCCTCTTATAGAATGAATACCCTGCAGTTGCTTATTATTTAAACTTCTTCTCCCGCCAGGTCTAACTGATAAAAGTGGCTGTAGCGGATACTGGCGAGACGAGGTCTCTGTTGGCGCCTGGTGGACCCTGCAATTAGAAGTTCTGCAGTCCAGTGTCTGATTATTCACTGCGGTACCTGATGCCCTACTCCAAGGACTCAAAGACAAGTCCGTGTCACAACAATCGCTGGTCTCAAGCAACGATGCGATCTTCATGATAAGGCTCGGTATATAGGAGTCTAGGAGTAATCAATCTCTCGTCTCCTGATCGAAGCTGCTTATTAAATTTGGTAGCCTGCCTAGTCTGAATCACGTGTAATAAAAACGGTACTAGGTCAGCGGAGGCTCTACTTCTCGTTATTGGCAGACGCAGATATTCTTGCTGCCTATTATAGACAGTGGCAGAGTGCATACGCCAATGTACTGGACTGTTTCACAAGGAGGGGCGTAAGACTAATAGAGTCGCATAGATTCCTCGCCAGATAGGTCACTAAGCACCACAAAAGGAAAATCGCACCAAGGATATAAGTGTTCATACAGAATCGCACCTGTCTATATTACACTGGCGCTAGTCGCGCGAGCGCCAAGATTGCGCACTAGATCACATCCTTTAGGTGCATCCACCCGACTATTAACTGCATATAAGCCGCACGCCGGTAGGTTAGTAGTTGGGTGGGTGACCACTAGCGAATCCCTGCTGTTGTATGTTTTTTTGATTTGACCACAGTGTACGGGAAGGGTTAAAGATGTAAGAATTCGGCATATCTTTGGTATGTCAGCTATCATACTCCGTACTACTTGAGCCGACATTCGGGATCTTCGCCATCTGTTGCGGCTATTGACACCTGGTGGCCGAGTCTGCCAAGTCATGTCATACGCCGGAGTATGCCAACCTCGAGGGATATACCCCGGTATACCTTTGACAACTGACTGCCCAGCAGGACTGACGCCATAGGATACGTGCCGCATCGCCGACGAGGCAGTCCAGATGGAGACTCTGGAAATAGGATTCCTGGAAGGGAAGAAATGCCCGCTTGGCGTTCGTGCAACAATACCTCTTTTAGGACGCAGCCAAGGCCCGTCAATGGCCGCACCAATGGAGGCTGCTATAGGTAGCCGGACGCCCGAAGCGGCATTTTGGCCCGTGTGGATCTTTCCCCGGATTGGGCCCATTTAAGGTTGCCCCAGATTGCCGTTTCGGGCTCCCCCGCATCAGAGCCGGTACGATCTATACAGAGTACTCCCATAGCCCCTCCGCTGGTGGTCTATATATGTCATATACCTCATGGAGTCCAATTACCCTGGGGTGAGTAATTCCCAAATACCCTCGTCTACTCATAACATCTCCGGATATGTCTACATCAGACGGCTCTCCCCAGCCCAAGGCCGACGACCTGAAAGACGATCTGCTCGCTGGCAGCTCTCACATTGAGTCCCTCAAACATGGCCCCACCAACATCGAGGCCATGGCCACGGACATTGACAAGCTCCCCGTGAGCTGGTTTGTCTGGCTGGTAGCCCTGACGGCATCCATTGCGGGCTTGCTCTTCGGCTACGACACCGGCATCATCTCCGGCGCCCTAGTCTACTTGCACAACGATCTCAATGAACGTCCGGTGACGAGTTCGGAGAAGGAACTCATTACCTCCCTTTGCTCTGGGGGTGCGTTCTTCGGAGCCATTGCCGCCGGGAACACCGTGGACAGGGTGCGTTAACCTTCGCCATCCTTTATCTACACTTGCTGTTGTCTTATCGGGCTCCTAACACATGCTAGTTCGGCCGCAAAACAGCCATTTACATTGGCTGCGTCCTTTTCGTCGTCGGGGCCGTGTTGCAGGCCGCCGCCTACACGGTCGTACAGATGGCCGTGGGCCGCGCCGTGGTCGGGTTAGGCGTCGGCTCTGCGGCAATGGTGGTGCCATTGTACGTAGCGGAGATCGCACCCGCCCGGGCACGCGGGCGCCTTATCGGGCTGAACAACATGTCCATCACCGGCGGACAGGTCATCGCGTACGCCATCGGCGCGGCGTTCGCGCACGTCCCGCACGGCTGGCGGTACATGGTCGGGCTGGGCGGGGTGCCGCCCATCGTGTTGTTCGCGCTGATGCCGTTCTGCCCGGAGTCCCCGCGGCACCTCGCCTACAACGGGCGGGTGGAGGAAGCGCGCGCCGTCCTCCAGCGCATCTACCGGACCGCGTCCGACGCCCAAATCGACACGGTCCTCAGCGCGATCAGCGAGGCGTGCGCGCAGGCGCGTGCGATCAACGCCCGCGGCACGGGCTGGGAGAAGATCAAGCAGCTGCACGCCGACCCGGCGAATCTGCGCGCGCTGGTGGCGGCGTGTGGACTGATGGTCATCTCGCAGCTGACCGGGTTCAACGCACTGATGTACTACAGCCCGACGCTGTTCTCGACGGTGGGGTTCAGCAACCCGACGGCGGTCGGGCTGGTGGTCGCGGGGGGCAACTTTATCATGACGGGCGTCAACATGGCGATTGTCGACCGGGTGGGCCGCCGGCGGCTGCTCCTGTGCACGGTCTGGGGCATGTCGGTGGGCATGGTTGCGGTGGCGGTCGCGTTCCGCAACATCCCGATTGACCTGGACTCGAGCGAGGTGGCTACAGCGGGCGTGTCGACGTCGGCGGTTGTCGTGCTGGTGTTTATCATCTGGTTCGTACTGTTCTACGGCGTGTCGGTGGGCAACACGGCGTGGATGAGCGCGGACTTCTTCCCGCTGGAGGTGCGCGCCATGGGCACGATGTGGATGACGTGCTGCAACTGGGCGCCGAATGTGATCGTGTCGAGCACGTTCTTGTCCATGATGAAGGGGATGACGCCGTCGGGGGCGTTTGGGTTCTACGCCGGGCTGTGCGGGCTGAGCTATGTGCTGATCTGGGGCTTCTATCCCGAGGTGTCGGGGCTGGTGCTCGAGGAGATCCGCGAGGTGTTTCAGCATGGCTTTGGCGTGGCGTATGCGCGCAATCTTCGTAAGGAGCGGAAGGAGATTATCGAGCAGCGCATGAAGACGATGGAGAGGCCTGTTCCGGTGGGGCATTGAGCGCCTTCTGTTGTAAAGTATTGAGCCATTGAAGGAGCGTGTCGCTGTCACGAATAACGATCTGACTGTATAGATAATCTTCTTTGTGCTCTCATCTGTATGGTGGCTTGATGGACCTATTGCGCAATATCTACAATACGTGCTGTAGGTGGCAGTATATTCCAGTTTTGTTATGAATTCTATAGGCCTTGTACGAACCAGTAGCTGGAGCTCGGTAGGACCTCGCTTCTGCCGCCGTATACTGTCTTCTTGCTTTATTTGTTGACACTAGACCGCTGCCCGACCTTCTGTTTCTTAGCTATTCCTTCTTGTTTATACGGCACGCTTAGATAGGAAGATCCATCTCTGTTCGTCCCATAACAATTCGGGTAGGTGAACAGGCATCTGAATGGCCCTGAAGGAAGACTGAATAGGGCGGCAAGCTGCCTACGCAGCGCCTGGTGAGCACTACCATACTTATGCTGTTGTAAGTTTTTGTTTTTGGTTTTCTTTTGTCCATATCTCCTTTAGAAAATTGGTGTGTGGTGCAGTATGGTGGTAGAATGGCGGTTTAGATTGAGACTCTTGAAGCGTGGTTGCACTTTAGTCTGGCTTTTCCGCCGAAACATACTGTAACGACTGTATAGTTACTGCATATAGTAGAATTACAATATCTATATTAGTTTAACCTGTAAGTAGAGAGAAACCGTTCGTTAGAATGGTTTCAACTAGTATTAACAATACTATAGGTGCCAGTTTGACCATTAGGCTGCAAGACAGAAGGATAGAATCATTCAGCAGCCACACTAAATATATCGGCGGCATTATTGCACTCTAAAGCGATTCAAATCACTAGTTCACTAGACATTATAACTAATACAGTTGTAATTACCCTACCGTCCCTTCCGCCTTCTTAATTAGACCGCTACCCTAGGCTCTATCTCTCTGCCCCAGGGTTTCCCTATGGTTAATCGCTTTGCAGGGCTCTTAAGCATCATCTGCGCATTTTGGAGTATTGACTCGGTTATTCCTGTCTGCGACTCAGTATTGGTATATGTCTGATCCTGGGTTCTTGCCCTAAACTGTTGCAAGCGCCCGCGCAATCTTGCCGTATCCGCTCGTTGAACTTGTATATAGCTGCTTATGAACTGTAGGCTCTATACCCGTCCTGGGTCTCAGTCCTGATTCGGAGGAGATGTGTCCGGGCGAGGATGGGGGCCAGTAGAGCCCCCTGACTCCGTTCTAGTGTTATGACAGTGAACACCCCCCGAAGGAGCGCCCAACGTTCGCAAGGACGTCTCCAGACTTCCACAGAGTATTTTGTAATAAACAAAGGCCGAAGATGTAGAAATGAGAATAGAAATAATACTTACTCTGATACTAATGTATCTTGGTCGAAGTGAGTCTGACAAAGGGGTGCAGAAGGTATCATACCAACTGCACTAGCAAGTCTCCAGCACGAAAGATCGAACAATACAGGATGGTATACAGGGCATAATGCGAGAGACATTGTGGTTACAAATCTGCTAGGATATGAGGTCGTTCGATTGTTCAGATGATATTCCCTCTTCCTATATCAAGTCAAAATGTCGATTCCCAATGGTACTCTTTCAGCCGGTTAGTAACACTTAATAGACGTCAGCATGTGGAGGATGTTCTTGTGTCAGGTAGCTCCTCATACACACGTAATTTACTTATGGCTTGCTCGATCTGGTTGAGCGCTCAGCCTTTGATCACTGAGCTGCCGGCTGAGTGATGGGCATGTCGCGGGCATCTCTTTGTTGCGGGGTTCGCCTGGATGTCGTTTTTTGCTCACTTCTGCCCAGTGGAAAGGGAAGCAAAGTGGATTGTCCTCGAACGACTGAGTCTGTGTACCGATCCATGGAGTGGAATGCAGCCTTGTTGTATAGGTACTCGCCGCCCTTGTCGAAGCAAGGACTTCGAAATATTGCTCGGTTCTTTTCGAAATTTCCCTTTTCAGCCTTGAGGGTACCATGAGATTGGAGTATATCCAAAGCTCCCTCGGGTTTCCAGCAGTATCCAACATCCAGTGAGTGGAAGAGCTGGCAGGTTGGACGAACGTTGAACTCTGCAACCCCACAAATCATGGAGCTTTTATGCTGGGGGAAATACGTCACATCTCTCCAGTCCACCATTCGTACAGAGTGCCCGGCACAGCAATGATCATGAACGGTCTCGTCAGGGATTTTCCATGTAAAAGGTCAGGCGGATTGCAGCCCACACCCCCTGTAACCCCGCTTTCAGTACTAGACCCCCTCCTGCTTGTCAACTTGACAGAGAGGCAAGACATCCGCGCAAACTTGAGATCACAGCAACTTGGAGGCCCAGCATATAGAGCCAGGGTGAGCAGTCCTTCGGCCGCCTTTATTACTAATGGCATCTCACCAAAGCACAAGGAGCGGCGACGACATACCGTTCCTCCAGCGCATTGCCAGCCTGCAATCCGGGCTCCGCGACGCATTGGCGTCTGGCACTATACCGCTCGAAAAGGAGATCGTGATCCGCTCTCAACTGGCAGACCTGCTCATTCGCGGGTATGAACAGGACTCGCAGGGAAACGTGCAGCACCTGCGGGACGCTACGCAGCACATCGATGCTATCTTGCGACGGTTGCCGCGGGAGTCGCCCGAGCGGCCGCTGCACCTCAGCCGGCTGTCATATGCGTGTATGTCAGAGTACATGGCGACAAGGTCCCGATTCTCGATTGACGAGGCGGTGAGATACGGTCGGCTGGCGAGGCGGGAGGCGATGGCGACCAGGCTACCGGAGAACGACATAGAGTTGTATTGTGAGATTCTGAATAACCTGGGGGTCGCATTATCACACCGGCATCAGCTGGACTCCACCGCAGGCCCGGAGACCATGGAGGGTAGCAGGAGTCGGGGAAGTAGTGCTGGAGTCGCGGCCGACCTGGATGAGGCGATCGCCTGCGCGCAGGAGATCATGGCGCATACGGCGCCGGGCAGCGTGGCCTATTTAACCGGTCTCCTCAATCTGACGTCGCGTCTGGAAGCGCGATATTCGAGCCGCAATGATCCCGCGGACCGGGCGGAGGCCGTCGAGCTGCTCCGTCAGCTGCAGTTGATCTCGCCGCCAGGGTCCCCGGTGGGCGGCATGGCGACCATGCAGCTCGGCCAGATGGCGGCGGTCCGATTCGAGCGGACTGATGCCCTCGAAGACCTGGATGATGCTCTGAGGCTGATTCGGGACGGACTCGGCCGTTTGACGGACCGCTCGGAGCTGAGGCCTCAATGCCTTCACTTGGTCGCATCTCTCTATTCCCGTCGGCACAAGAAGACAGGCAATGTCGAAGATCTTCGCAATGCTATCAGCTTCTCAGACATGGCTCTCGCTTCCGTTCCAGCCTCGCATGTGGCCAAGGGCGATTACCTACTTCGGCACATGCACCAGCTCCATGACTTCATAACCACTATCGCATCTATAGAGGAGGTCACCGAGGTCACCGTGACGGCATATCGGCACCTTATGGCCATGCCGCGCGATTACAAGCAGCGACAGAACTGCCATAAGCTTTACGGTGATGTACTGGGCCGCAAATACCTTCTGTCGAGGAAACTGGAGGACTTGGACGAGGCTGTTCGCCACGTCGAGCAGACATGCTACGACTACAACGGCAAGGTTGAGCGCTCCGGCACGAAGCCTCCGGTAAATATTTCGGTAGTATCTTGCTTGTCGAGAGACGTACGCAAGCTGTTGCAGGCGCCTCGGGGACAGGCAAAAGATGCAGGGGCCGAGTATCTGCACCACCAGATCGCCACCGCATGCAAATCACACGGGTTCGCCAATGGAATTCTCCGAATCGGACAGAAGGTCATAACAATCCTCGAGGTCTACGCCGACGCTGCCAGGAGCAAGGAGGCAATAAGCCGTCAACAGGCCGAGAAAAGAGCGGGAGAAATTGAGCTCGATAAGGCAACCAAACTCCAAGATCGCCGGTCGCGGCCCTGGAAAGTCAAGAAGTATGAAACGGAATTGGGGCTGCGGCAGCTAGCTATAGATCCGGCCAACAAGCGAATAGTAATGGACTTGTCCACCGTCATGACCGACATCCTCGGCTACGACCCGACTGAACGGGTATCTGAAACCGAGTTCGTGGAGCGACACATACGACTCGAAAGGGACAGCATCGAGAAAGCCAAAGCGGATGGCAAGCATCCGAACCCAGCACTCTGCCGCATGTGCCGGTTCATCAAGCCGCTGGCCCCGACGATAGACCACCCCATTGGCTTCAAGTGGAATCAGCCGTGGTGGCCATTCGGCAACTGGAGCCAGCTCAAGCTGCGACAGCAGTGCACTTTCTGCCGGCTTGTGCTTTCACTTATTGTCACGGACCGCGGGGCGAACCGCCTCCACCCATATCTCGCCGCCATTGACCCCGAGATACAGGGCGTCAGCCTACACGTGGGGGAGGTTCAGGCCACCGGGGAGGCAGTCCTATCAGTGGAGTATGGGATGCGGGAGGTGGGATATCTGCGGATGGTCACGGAAAGCAACTATACGACAGCTCTGCGGCAGGGTTGGGAAGCCAAAGAACAGCACCGAGAGTCGGAAGGCATGGTCAGCGGCACCGCCGTTGATGATAATCACCGCGCCCCTCCCCCATCCTGGACGAACCAACAAATCGATGTCCGCCTGCTGAGACATTGGCTGGATGACTGCGAACTCAACCATGGCAAGGAGTGCAATCGCAGCTTCCACGACTGTGACGAAAGCTACAACACCGAGGGCATCCCCATGGTATTCGTCGACGTGCTCGACAACTGCCTCGTGCGCGCCACGTCGGCCGTCCGGTACTTCGCACTCAGCTACGTATGGGGCGCAGTCGACATGTGCCCAACCGTGGTTGCGAACTACGAATCCCGCTGCCAGAAAGGGAGCTTGCCACGACGGCTTCCGAGCACCATTGCTGATGCCATGGCGCTGGTCCGCGCTTTAGGCGAGCGTTACCTTTGGGTCGATGCGCTCTGCATCGTCCAGGACGATGCGAAGCGGAAGATGCAGGACATGGCGCAGATGGACGTCATCTACAGCCGCGCCTTCGCAACCGTCGTGGCTCTGCACGGCGCCAGTGCAGACGCCGGTCTGCCCGGCGTGCGGCCGGGCACCCGTCCTCCCCAGCCAGTGGAGTGGCTTGCAGTGGATGCTGGAAACGAAGACCTAGACTACAGTCCATCTTCAGACGGTGGTCCGGGACGGGACGAAAAGGGAACCGTGTCCCTCTGTCTGGTGGCCACGGCGCCCCCTCTTCACCTCGCCCTTGAAGCCTCGTGCTGGGACACGCGCGGGTGGACGTTCCAAGAACGGCTGCTCTCGAGGCGATGCCTATACTTCGCGGATCAGTACGTGTATTTTCAGTGCGGCCGCTGGCGCGACCAGGTGCTCTCGGAGTGCGGTGTTAACAGCCCTGTGCGCTCCAAGTGGACCGACAAGTGGGTGGACGAGAGCGATGAAATGGCCGTCGTTACGACTTCTCTTGATAACCCGCTCTCGGATCTTCACGATTGTAGAGTCGAGGACTTGGAACCCCAATCCAGACTGGCCAAGACTTTTGCCACGTACACGAAACTCGTCGAGAAGTACACCCTGCGGCAATTGTCGTACGAAGGCGACATCATCAACGCCTTTAGGGGGACCTTCGCTGCCCTCCACGCATCATTTCAGAGCGACATCATCTGCGGTCTGCCCACGTCTGCGCTCGACCTCGCGCTGCTTTGGGCCACTTGGGGAAAGACCCCGCGCCGAGGGCACACGCTGGCGACTTTGGGTGATCCTCGCACAGAGCGGAGGCCGGTCCTTGGGGAGGCGCTGTTGACCCATCGGGGTATCGAGAAAGTCTGGGGCCCCACTCCGGTGCAGACGTTTGACGAGAAGGTGGATAGGCGATTCCCCAGCTGGTCGTGGGTTGGTTGGACCGGGCCTGTTGAGTACCGGCTGTTTGCAGATATGAGGCCGGAAGAGCCGCTGCCCACGTCGCTCATTGAAGAGTTCACGATCAACCTGGATGGAAAGAAGATCCAACAGATACCGGGCCGAAAGCAGCCGCGAGGGGCTCCCTCCTTGACATCCGCCTCTACCGCCCCTGAAGACTCCGCTCCTTCATCTCGTATGGAAAGGATGGACCTCAACAGTTCAGGCGTCGACAGTCCGGTCCATGCGTCTCCCTCCCTCCCCAACGTCCTTCAGTTCATGGCTCCCACTGTGCCTCTCACCACCTTCACCATCTCCACGGAGCGCGAGTATATCTCGAACAAAGGTTCTATCCACTCACCGGGTCGGCAGGCCGTCCGCCATATCCTCGACGGCGCAGGTCGGCGCTGTGGGCTCTGGTGGGAACAGGCCGGCTATGTATATATCGGGAGGGCCGTGAGCCCGGCTGCGGAGAAGAAGATGCTTCTTGTTGGCGTCAGCCGGCACGAGGACACGTTTTCTCCGCGGACCGGACCAAGTCGTGTCGAAGGGGAGATCGGGTGGTTTGATGAAGACGCTTACCCGGCCGTGGGGACGGGTAGTGGCTTGATCAACGTCCTTGCCGTGGATCTGGATATGGGTCACGAGTTTGGCGAGCGGATTACGGTTGCAAAGATCCATGCTCGCGCATGGGACAACGCCGGCCCGATAATGAGGATGATTCGGCTGGCTTGACCGAGAGTTTCACTTCGTTTCCTGTACCCAGCCAGAGCCCATCCTCCGCCTAGATAAACTTCGAACTGCAACAACATCAGAGGCCAAAGGCTGAAGACTATACGCCGGAACCCAGCCAAGGTTCCCATAAGGAAAGTGGGAAAGCAGGTAGGGTACGGCCGCCCTGAAAGCGGACGATGGGACTGTTGTGTCTTGCAAAGGAGACTCCACGTGACCTTGGCCATCTGCTGGGTCTTTGGGAGTGTATCCAACAGAAGTATACAGAGAGCCATATGAGGGATATGTACCTGTTTCAATCCAAAATTCAAGAGACTTTTGGTGGGCATGACAGAATATCCTGGGAAATTTAATATTGCTTAGTTGGGCGCTTGCCCCGCTGTCAACAGAAGGGGCTATGGCCCGCATTTCAGAATGTGCGCCGAGTGAAAAGAGTCCGACAACATAGATGTATGTCTGGCGTGAGATTAGGAACTTGGGATAGCCGCCCTTCCGACACGGCAAGCCCCAAGCACGTAGGGTGGAGCATCGGTGTGTGGATCTGTTAAGGGAGTCAAGCTCGACGTAAGTGGTGGTTTGAGCATTCGTGTACATCCTGGTTGATAGAGGCATTATCTGCCTGCCAGAGGGATCCATGTATATCAGCACTAACTCAACCTTTCCTATACTATGTCTACTATAGAGACTTGACCGGTCGATCTCCAATCAACACGCATTGTTGTTAGATGAAAATTACTCCCTGATCAAACTAGCCATCCACATCGTCCTGGCAAATTACGACACAGCACGTGTCAGCGGGTTGCAATTTGGTGATGATTGGAAGTCCTTGTTTGTTGTGCCACCATTTGGAACCCCACCGGGGCGAAGGAAGTTACAAAAAGTAGAAGAATGCCACCGTCCGAGTCTCCAGCTCTGAATCATCCACCTATTTGAGTCTGTGGTTTACTAAACCCTACATTGCTAGTTTACCAGTGTCATTGCTGCTCTCCCAAATAGCCATGGAGAAAAGGGCCAACGACCACGAATCGACTTACATCGAGTATGTTACTTATCGAGAAAATAGACGTACATCATATTAACCTCGTGATAGTTTTCTTGATTCAGAGCTTGTTTCTCTCCAAGCTGGTCGGATGGGACGGTTATTTAAAATCCATCGAAAGCTGCTTGGCTTAAAATCTAAACCAGTGATTGCTGCTTTGGATCGGGGTTTCGATGAGGGCCAACGAGGAATATACAAATTCGAAGAAACGACAGAAGGAACGCTTGCACGCTTCATTGAATGGGCATACAGGGGCGATTATCCTACTGTGATCAGCGAAATCGGAACCGTCCAAAAGTCCCTTCCACACGGTATTGAAGCAGATGTCAAAGATCCGCCTACTGTCACAACGTCAGCGACAGATATTACTTCTGAGAACCATCCATTATTGGTCCACGTGCGTCTGTATATCTTCTCAGGGACATATCTCATCCCTGAGCTACAGGATCTGGCTTTCAACAAAGTGACTGCCTGTTTCAAAGACCTTAAAAAACCAGAGAGTCTTGATACACAACTTGCAGTCATCGATGCTTTACAGCTGTCATTCCTTAGGCTCCATGAGCCTGATGCTCTATTGGGCTGGTTGAGCCAATACTCTGCATATTGCATTGATAAGCTCCGGCTACAGAGTTCTTTTCATGATCTTCTCGGAGACTTTCCAATTTTGAGCTCAAGAATGATGCTGTCATTGAACCCGGCACCGCACCCACCTTGGGAATATCCGCCGCCAAAATACCCATTTCCCCTCTACTCGCCCAGTCGATCGGCTGAAATCAAGTACGAGTACTGAAATGGAGGGAAGATATAGTGAGTGGCCGCTGTCTCTCAGATGCGACTGTGACAGGTGTCCCGCATAGCAACGGATGTTCCTATTTTGTTGGGAGTTGATAAGCAGTGTACCGCTCGGTGCCGGAAGCAAGGGACACAGTATCCGCGTTCTCTCATACTCATGAAGGTTGTAGATTTGGCAGCTTGCCACCAGATCGTATTTCGGGTCCAGTACTTATAAAGCGAGGACGCCTTCTCCGAGCTAATAAAAGCCTAACCTTACTTCAACTCTAAGACTGTACGACAGATGTGTCTGTGCTCAGATAACGGTGGTTTATGTACTCAATAGACTGCCCAAACGCAGAGGCCTGCGACAACAACTAGTGAGGGAGTTTAAAAGAAAGTAAAGTAAGACACAAGATACTGACCAAAACAGCAGCGTGTTAGGTGCCGCCATAGCCTTCTACACGCTAAACCATCTATATAGAACGTCGTCCGTTGTCGTATTATTATCCGTCACGGCCCACAATACACCCCCCCGTGCATTTCATGGATATCTTCCCACGAATTCCTCATCTCCTCGCCATCGCCTATCATCTTCCAGAGATCCCACAGGGCCCGGGGCGAACACTTCATCCACCCCGGGAAACTGTCGTACTGGTCCAGTATTGGCCACGCCTCGAGCACCTTCACGAACCGCGTCGTTTCGAGGACGTGGTCAGGCCCCTCCGCCTCCAGGGCCTCCACCGATGCATCCAGCAGCGTGAGCAGGGACTCCTCGTCGATGACAATGCACATGCGATCTGAGTTGAAGAAGTCGCGTCGGCCCTGTCCTTCCACAACGGCCTCAAAGTGATCCCGAACTGACTCTATCGAGGCCCTCGCGAACTGCGCCGCATCTTCAACGACGGTGGACTGATATCTAGCCCAGATATTCTGATAGATGGCGGGATTTACGCCGGGGGACTTCTCGCTGTAGTAGGCGCACTCGGAAAAGAGCGATTTCTTAACGCAGGCGTCGAGATAGCGGAGAATAGTAGGAAATGCAGTGTCTGCCTGGGCAGAGAAGATAGTGCAGTAGATAGTGTATCCCCAGTGCGGCTCGCCTTGGAGTCTGTTATGCAACTCCTCGGTGGATCCGGGCGGCGATATGAATGACATTTTAGATATCAGGAGGGAAGGGGAGACGGCAAAGAGAGAAAAAAGGTAGGAGAAGAAAGAGGAAGAAGATTCGCAATGGGGAGACGAGCTAAAATAATCGCTCGACTTGTCTTACTCACATTCTACATTGATTCTAGTACGATCGCTTTTCGTTAGTAATAATAATACTAAATTGGTAGGCCTCAGGCACTGCGGCCGATAATTAATCAACCGCAGCCCTACTACATAACTACTTGCCACATCAGAACTATTTTATTGATTAGCCCTGGCTCTTCCCATTCTAGTTAGCATCTAACTAGCACGCGGTAGGTGCATATACAGTCATTCCGAGCGAGTAACTAATCACGACGTAAAAAGGGAGACATACCTTTTCCCACACAACTCCTCCTACCGGCAGCTGAAAAGTGAGCTACTATCCAGGTCTTCCTAACAGATCCTTTTTAACTAACGAGAGTAATAAGGTAACGGGCCCAAATATTAAATGGCTGGGATTAATCACTTAGGAACCGCGGTCTGTTTAATCCGCCGCCACCAGATCTGATTAACCGGCCCTCATGGACCGGTCCCATAGATACCTCACCTAATGTGGTCAATTACATGCAGTTCGCCTCCGCAGAACAATTCTCGCTCACTCACTTATTCTAAAGCGGCGAGAGTCTTATCCTAGGGATTAATGGCGGAGAAGAACAAATGTCGGGAAGAGTTAAAAGGACGGTGGACTGAACCTATTAAATTCTCATCCCGAGATCCACCAGCAATCTACAGACTACACCAGCATAGTCGAAATAGAATGTTATTATCATCGGCAATCCTATGTTTTAATTTCGAGCTCCAGCAGTAGCCGAAGGAAGGGCGCTGCTCTCACTCGTACTGGTATAGTCGGTCTCATCGAAAATCGCAAGCTGCTGGATATAATACTCTGGTGGGTGTTCATTGTCCGTAAAGAGAAGTGCCGCATCGCCGACATCCTTATCTTGGGAACTGTCATCTTCAGGCTCCGCTACTCCCGTGTTATAGTGACTGTCTTCAGTGCTCTCCTGTTCAGAGGAATCGCTGTCGTCGGATGACAAGGGAATCTTGCGATGGCGGCGAGATATAATGTGAAGATGCAGCGCAGTCAACAAAAAATGCTTTTTGGGCGTGAAACCTTTTGCTGAAGGTCTCTATAGCACTTGATAGCAGTGGCCCGCCGAGGGTTGGGATTCAAAAGAGCGAGTTGGGAGATGCGAATGGGATGTAGGACATAAGGATAGCCGAGGGAACGGTCACTGTTTATAAGAGCACTTCGAGAAGAGGCCATTTTTAGAGCGTCTCAGAGACCGCAGCGAAGGTTATGGGATGTTAGCATTGGCTGGCCTCTAGAACAGTGCGCTTGTAGGTATACTGCGCTGCGGACAAATGAGGTTTGGGTGGGTCGATGATCGGTGCTTGGCGGTGCGTGGACATAAGTGCACGGGGGAGTGGCGGGAAGACGTGGCAGATGGACGGCCAAAAACGGCGTCGACTGCGGCCGTTTTGGGCAGCCCATCTGCCGTCTTCTAGTTTAAAGTAGCAACCTTTATATGCCACTCTTTTATATCCTTACCCTTACTTTTTCTAGATATTTTTGAACGAGCATTAGCAAGCAGGATATTATACACTAGAGGCTCGAGAATATCTTTATTAGTCACTGTATAAATGCCGTATTTATTCTATTAATCCCGTATATTCCTTTATTTTATCCATAATTCGAAATCGAACGTACTGCATTAACTAAGGCCCCGTCGAGAATTATTAAATCTTCTATAAGAGTCAGATAGTGACGTACTTATAGATAGTCGGTTATATAGTATAGGATTAGGATTTGGTACGCAGAACGTAGCATAAAGATTACAGTAAACTGCTCGCTTGATCTAGGAGCTAACAATGCCGATTGCCCTCTGGAACCTGCCATCGGATATGCATATGGTACGGTAGATGACCTAACACCTAACCCTAGGTCTCTTCCTAGAGATTGGCAAGTCTACGGCGATATGCGCGGTTCTGGTCTTGTCAGTCCCGATCAGGAGACCCAGAGTGCTGTACTCTGGTATAGTCATAGAAAGGAGTGAGGAGTGCGTTAATCTGTAACATCTGCACACAATGATATTATGTCTCCTCGCTCCCCATCAGCGCCCCTGCCGGATGCCGCGACTCTAATCCCACCGGGCCTGGATATTTCGGGTCCATTCGATGCGCAGGTGGTGCGCCCGGCCTCGTAAGAGAGATTGATGATCGAACAGCCGCCGTGGGGATAGTCGTTTGCGGAGACTGCACGCGTTTCCGTCAGCTTACTCTTTCTGCTCTGTTTCGGCTCGCTATCGGGACACCCGCAGCCCACGCCTAGTTGGTACAGGCTCCTCGAGACATCGTCCACGACTGATGGTTGATGTTCATACAGAAGCCGTTCGAGAGGCAGATGTCGGTGGCGCCGCCGTGCAGGGCACATTGTTCTTCGCGATACTGCCGTTGGGGAAGCAGCATGGTCGTGTGTGGTTGGAGGACATGGTTGGAATCGGGAGGTGATCCCCGTTCCGTTGGTTTGGCTGGGCCGTGGATTCTTCAGCCCTTTTCAATTCGAGTCAAGTGCTCACAGCTGCGGCTTCAGGGGCCGCTCTTGACCAGTTCGCTTCGGATTGGACGGTGCGGGAGGCATCAGCTTGCCAGCCGATTCGGCCCCTGTGTTCATTTTTATTTTTCTGAGTCACTTGTCTGGCAGGGATCTAGAGCCCTCTAAGTGTACTATTTTGGTGAGTTGCAGAGACAGAAGGAATGGTTGTGGATTGATCTTTTGCACTCTAAATCAAACAAATAGAATACCGTTACAGAGGTCTAGCCTGTATCGATGAAAGTGTGCGCCTGCATTGAACCGGATGTCAGTACGCTTAGCCTCTTCAGTATAAATCCCTCTGTAAAGAGGATGTTTTTACAAATTAAGTATAGTGTGCGGCGTCAAGATAAACCTGGATGGGACAAGCAAGCGCCTGGACGGGGGCGGGCGAATGGGCCGATCCGCAGGAACAACACCCACCGCGAGGCGGCTTTGGGCTACTAGATGCACCGTGCTGAAAGATGTCCGGTCATGTAGCAGGACTGGATTGCGGCTGCAAATCGTGTTTCACCCTCCACCAACCGGTACACATAATGTACTCCGCCTGCACTCTCCTGCACTCTCCTGCACTCTCCTGCACTCTCCTGCACCCCCATGCACTCCCATGCACGTCCCCCATCGTGTCCCATCGTGTCCCGGTCCCATTAAGTCTTATTATGTCCTATTATGTCCCCATTAAGTCGCACTGTGTCCCAAGTACCATCAACCACACCCAAAGTACACCAAAACTCCTGAAAGGCTGATTACATGCAGAAGGCCTGCGTCGGGCGGACTAGGTATCACCTTGGGAGGGTCAGTTACCAAAGTACAACGTAATTTTGCCGATGCCAGGATGGGCACAGATGTATACTGGTGATGATCTAGTTTCGGCTTGAGATATATCCAAGGCTGTTGTCATTTCCCACATTGCATGCACCCATGTACTAGACAGTAAGCTCTTAAATCATTCCAAGGTACTAGGTAGGTCAACTGCCAGTATCTCTGTCTCTCTCTCTTAACATATCAGTCGGTGATTATTCCAAGACCATCTGGGCCTCATGATGGGACAGTGGGCTGAATCTCGTAAGCTGGCTTCGAAGCGCGGAAGATCGGCCACGACTATTCCAGACGTGCTGGCCAAAGGCGTTTCTTATGGACGTCCCGGCGGAGCGCATGGAACGGAAAAAGTAAAAAAAGTTGAGAATCAAGCCAATGACTGTGTCTGCATTCGTGGCCGCACGAGGCTCAGCAGCATGGCAACGGGTAGAGCAGCATGACAATGGGGTGAACCGATGGAGAAAGTTGACGGGTAGAATAAATGGGCCAAGTTGACTCGAGGCAAGGACATTTTGGACAAGGCGAAGGCTGCAGAGTGTAAAAGACGGACGTGCATGCATCCGTGATTAGCAGTAGTCCGTGATTGGCTGCCAATTGACTGCCCGCTGCACAGCCAGACCGACTGAAAACGAGGGCAACAGGGGGGAACAGGGGGCACAACGCTGTTTTCCGCGAAAATGTGCAATCAGTTCTTTCTGGATCGAAATACGTGGGATGTCATAAGGCCCCAGTACTCAAAGAGAGAGACTGAGATATAAAATGTCCCATCCCCCTAAGGGATTTGGTTAAATGTTCTTTCATCCATCATTAGCAAAGTCTCACCTGAGGCGTGTGAATGACACGGGCGGAATCGTATGTGTTTTTGTCTCGATATTATCTTCTTCGTCCATTGAACCCTCGACTCCATAGATGGCTTCCAACACCAGCCGCTCTTCGATTGACCCCAGGGACAGGGATGCCCATGAGGCCGTGTACTCTCAAAGTGCGGGAGTTTGCGGCGCCTTCGAGTATCCTGTGTACCCTCTGACGCTCTACCATGACCCCAGACATCCACCTTTCCTCAATGTCTTCAGAGGCAATGGTGACACCTTTGGGGCTATGAACCTTGATGCAGTCCCCAATCTCTCATTGACTGCTAGCGCGGAAGGCGCACAAGGCACGAGAGGGTCGGACTACATTGATCTGACCCAGTCAAGTCGCACCCTTGGCCCTAAGGCGGAGTCTCACGTTGCCCCCCAGAAGCGCGATGTGAATTCCACTGTCGGTCAGCAAAGGTATGTTGTCTCTCCGGTTAACCTCCCCAGCCTGAACTAATTCTCCTTTGTTAGCCGCAATGAGGCAGCCCAGAAGACATTCATGTGCAAATGGGACGACTGCCATCGCCGTTTTCGCCGGGAAGCAGAACTGATGCGGCATGTCAAGACCATCCATGTGTGTCCCAACGCCTTCTGGTGTCCGGTCGAAGGGTGCTCTCGTAAATTCAACCGAAAGGACAATTTGAAGGTGCACCTTGAGAAAAGGCATCGATCGGGCGGGTCGACATGATTGAGCTGAAGCTAGATTTATGTCATAATACTGCTGCAGGGTGTGATAGTTCGTTGCGTGGTTTGTGCTTAAGAGCTAGATATCGAAAAGGAGTAACTAAAAGTTGGTTTGTTTCAATGCATGATCCGATGCCGATACTTGTGCTGTCTGCAGAGATATTATGCTTATAACGATGCACCGTTCTCCAACATGAATTCAGCACAGGTATTGGATCAACGAACTTT